TTTTTTTATAATAGGGTCGTCTATTATATGTAAAGACGACGGTTTTTTTATAAAAAGGGTCGTCTATTATGAAGTAAAAACGACCCTTTTTATATGAAAAGGGTCGTCGGGTCGTCTATTATGAAGTAAAGACGACCCTTTTTATATAAAAACCGTTGTCTTTACTTAATAATAGACGACCCTTTTTATAAAAAAACCGTCGTCTTTACTTAATAATATACGACCCTTTTTATATGAAAACCGTCGTCTTTACATATAATAGACGACCCTTTTTATATGAAAACCGTCATCTTTACATATAATAGACGACAGTTCTTTCAAAACAACCATGTCTTTACCAAAAAAAGGACACTTGATTTTAAAAGACGACGCTTATCATACCTGCTGTCGTTGTTTTTTGGTCAGATTTTAACTCTAAAGAAAAGCTTTTTAATAAGACGACGCTTTTTTATTTGTGTGCGTCGTTATAAAAAAATTCTCAACAGTATCTCCATTTTTTAGTTGTTTAAGTCACTTATCCACGACGGTTTTTTGTTACCGTCGTCTTTTTAAAAACAACGACGGTTTTTTGTTCTACCGTCGTCTTTTTCTGGTCGTCTTTTGCCCTTTTTGTAGTAGTGACTGCAACTTCTTGGTGATAAAAAATGGTTTTTCAATATGGATAAACTTTGTAAGGTTACTCTATGGTCAGGAGGATTCTAGTCTTCTTGTACCTCTTTTCTTAATGGAGTTTATATGGCCTCTCAAAATTCAAGGATTGAAGGGTTGGTAGTAAAAATAGAGTAATAACCTTGTAATCACATGGATCTTTTGTTGAACAAAATGTAGGAGGTGGAGACTATGGTATTTCCCAGGATCAGAGAAGCTTTAAATGCGGAATATTTGACACCACGTGTTTTGTTTACCAAGAACCACAAGGACTTGGTGAAGGAAGGAGAAAAGTGGATGAAAGAAACCGCAACATCCTGTACAGTTGTAGGTGCTCTCATTATTACCATCATGTTTGCTTCAGTATTTTCAGTTCCTGGTGGAAACAATGGAGAAACAGGGCTTCCTATATTCTTGAATAGAAAGTTATTCATGGTGTTTATAGTTTCAGATTCTATATCGCTCTTTTCTTCCACAACTTCTGTGTTGATGTTTTTGGGAATCCTTACATCACGTTATGCAGAAGATGATTTCCTCAAATCTTTACCAACAAAGATGATAATAGGTCTTTCCACCTTATTCATCTCTATTGCCGCCATGATGGTTGCCTTCTCTTCTGCCCTTTTCATTATGATCCATGAACAATTGTGGATTGTTATTCCAATCATTTTCCTCGCTAGTGTTCCAATCACCTTATTTATTTGGATGCAATTTCCTCTTCTCGTTGAGATTTTTATTTCTACTTATGGAAGCGGAATATTTGATAGGAAAGTGAAACAATGGACATAAATTCTTAATGGTACATGTACGCGATATTGTATAACTTTCGTAAAGTTGTCACTTCTTAGAAGCTTATTGTACATGCCATTTATATGTTTAGCATCCTATAATAAAAACTCAAGGTACAATATCTATTTTATTTGATCTTGTGAAGATATAATTGTTGGATAAGCTTTTGCTTCGCTCCTCCCCACCCCTCCTCATATCCCTTAATATAGGGTTCTTAGATGTAGGTTCCATTTAGATGTGATGTAATGGTCCCTCTTCAATTGCAGTACACCAAGCCAAACGTGTGGCTATGTAAGTTCTTCTTATTCTTATGTACACTATCGTGAATGAAATTACATGATATTCTATTGGTTATAAATGAAAAAGGGTATTTCGCCGAATTGCCCCCTGAATTTGTACCTAATTATCAATTTTGTTTTAGAAAATTAAGAACTCGAATTAAATTTTATTCTCAACTTCCTCCATACCAGCTAACATTTCAACCAATTTTCTATTAAATCATTAAAAATAAATAAAGAGAAGAAAAAAAAACCTCCCCCACAGCTGCCACATTTCTTCCCCACCATCGTCGTCACCGTCTCTGGTTCAAGTTCTTGTATCTGGTGTTTTCTATTAAATCATTAAAAATAAATAAAGAGAAGAAAAAAAACCTCCCCCACAGCTGCCACATTTCTTCCCCACCATCGTCGTCACCGTCTCTGGTTCAAGTTCTTGTATCTGGTGGGCTGCCTTGTCCTCCCATGGTGCCTCTTAATGTTTTTATGGCTGGGATAAGAAAACCTGTTACTAATCTTGGATTGAGTTTAGTCTCTTCTATCCTGGTGTAGGTTGCCTCTTGTTTTAAGCTTTGATTTGGTACTCTGTACTTTGTTCTCTTGGCTTTAATGAAGTTGAAATTGATACTTAGGTGATGTTGTGTAGATTTCAGCTGCACCAAAATGGATTCAGCTGCATCCTCAACTTGTGATACTCGCAAGTGCACGAACCGTTGGTAGTTTAGCGTATGTAAGTGCGAGGTCGATTCCACAGGGATTGGTGATTGAATGATCCAATTCAGTTTTCCTACACAAAACAGAAACAAAAACAAAGAACATGAAAGAAGGAAGAAAATAAGAAAGTAACTCAAGCAAATAAGTTCCCAAGTTCAATTTAGATTAATGGATTGATTCTAGCTAAAGTATGATTAAGCCATTGTTGCATTCCTAAAAGGACACAAATTAATGTGCAAACAACCAATTAAAAATACCCGCAAGTGCACGAATCTAATGAAGTATAGATTATGTAAGTACGGGGTCGATCCCACGAAGAACTTGGTGAAAGGACTCAGTTAAGATAAGATATATGCAACTTGCAAGCAGTGAGCATTTCATAAACCGAAAATGTGGGGGCTTGGTGTCTAAAGATTATTTTAGGGTGTCGGTCCATAGCATCACCCAATTTGATATCAGACGGATAATGGAAAGTTGAAATGGTCACCCGAGCTGAAGTGAGATTTCTACTCTTCCTATTCATCTCCATTGTCCTTTAGTTTCTCCTCACTTTCTGTTGTTTTTCCATTTTAATTGTGACCATCTAGATGTTAATATAAACAAAGACTATTAGTAGTCAAGCAAAAACTATACAAGCAAAAACAAGAACTAGACAATATGCTAACTAAACAAAGACCATGACAAAACAGTACAGCATTCAAACATACACCGATCCAGTTTCTGTTTTTGCTCCTTTTCTCACCCTGGCTTGTATTAAAGAATGCTTGGAATGAAAAAGCGCGGTCCTTGTTTCGCCAATACTTTAACACGTTTAATATATATATATATTGTAGTACAAGCGATAGTATAAACTCACACACAACTAAAATGTCATGGTGATTCGAATCTTAAACCTCTGGTCTTTTAGATAAATTCTCCTTGGCCATATATAAGAGCCCGTTGGAGTTGACAAGCGTGTGACCCATCATTGAGACTCAAATTATGTGTTCCTTGCATTACTGTTCAATAAAAGCTGGATTGGATAATGACTAGTTTTTGTTTATAAAAAAAATTTGTGTCCAATAGGACCAATTTTACTGATGGAGAAAAGATATAGAGATGGGGGCGGATCCAGAGTCCCCAAACCAAATCAAAACTAAACTAATTCAATAGGTTTCAAGTGTTTTTAGCTAAATTTTAATAATAAAAAAATAGAGAGCATAGTTGTAAATGTTCTTAATCCAACCACCACCGTTTTTGTTTGTTTTTTTTCAAAATCCCACCACCACCTTCAACCTCACCATTGGCGCATCGGACTATATCCAAAACCCAGATCCAAATGCTGGACCTTACCTAGTACCTACCATCATCGACAAATACTTTTTGAATAATTTGAAATTTCAGTCTTTTGTTTGCTTTTTGCGTCAAGTACTTTTTGAATATTGTGTATCAATTCGGATTTTAAAAATATATTTTGTTACGAAAAATCTTTGCTGAGATTTCTGATATCCACATGTGAACAAAGACATAGATGACAAAATGCTTATTAAACAAAGACTGACAATTACCAACATGCTAACAACTTTAACAAGTCATTCTTTACTCCAAGTCTAATTCATTAAATTTATTAAACGAAGACTGACAAAATGCTTATTAATCTATATTTCCTTCACTGTTTGAAATCATTAAATTTCATGGACACTAATATTATTAGCATTTTTACAGCAACAATGACCAAATGTTATGAAGAAGGAAAATAAACTACAAAACTCTTTTCAATAAGGAATTCGTTGGAAACGTTTTGGGTGTGTGTGTTGTAAACTCCTGTACAATAAAGCCAGAGAAAGCAGCGGGAAAGAAGATAGAAGATGAAAAAAAAGGATTGCCCATTAAAAAAAAAAGGAAGAGAGGGGAGAGAGAATATAATAAAATAATTAATAGTCTTAAAAGTTGGGCTGCTAGGTTGTCCCCAATGTTTATTTTTAAATTTGAATGATGTGTGAAAGAAAAGGATTGCCCATTAAACAAATGCAATTCTAATCATTGAAACTTACTTAATTCGATAATTTAAATGGTGAGTCAAAAAATGAGGTTCTACATGTGTCTCCTAATATTTTTAAATTTGAATGATGTGTGAAATACCATTATTATCCTTGCATTATGATTTTTAGTTTTTTATGAAGACTTGTATGGCACATTTAGTCTCTTTGAATGATGTGTGCAAGAATTGGGATGGTATTCAACCAAGGGTATATTACTATTTGGATAAGAGTGTTTTGGCTGTTCATGGAGTGTTGAAACTTGAAAAAGTATTTGTGTAATTACTAATTATCATGATATGAAGGAGTTATATAAAAACCCTAAAAACCTCAAGGGTAAATTACTCTTGGTTGAATTTGTTTAATTACGTCAACGAATTGGAAATGGTAAATCACGCAATCCTCACCCTTCGCGGACGAGTTTTTATCAAAAATAGCCAAAATTTACCCCATACTTTCATAAATGTCAGTTTTTATAAAAACTTTCAAAATAGCCAAAAACTAACTTAAATAGACTCAAATGCCCTCAAAATTAAAAACAATTTGCATCTAAGAGTTAAAATCGATTCAAACCATTCGCATTGTGGTTCAAAGAGAGAGAGAGAGAGAGATAGATAGATAGAAATGGTTCGTTGTTTGAAAGGAGGAGAAAGGGGAGGAATGACTCTCTCATATCACCATCCCCTTTCCCCACCCTCCCGGACCTGACTTCAGCTTCCCCTTCCCAAAAGCCGTTTTCAATCATCTGAAATTCAATTCACCAACTATAAATGAAATTCAGTTCAACTATAATAAAACAGATTGATAATTATATTACTGGGAGAAGAAAAAAAATGTAGCAAAAAATAAGCATACAGAGTATATATAATAGATTTTTTTTTTTTTTTTTGGGTCCAACTCTGTCTTTCATTAAAGAGAAGACACTAAGACGGCAGCAAGCCAAACCCAGATTCAAAAACTGAACTTCCTCAGAAGAACAAGAGACCAAGATTACAGATAATTTGAGAATGGTATGGTTATTTCGTTCTTCTTCTTCTTCTTTTTAAATTTTTTTTAATTCTTCAAGTAATATAATTCTCTTTCTTTGTTATTGCTGGTAAATTGAATTTCAAATTATTGAGAATAGCTTTATGGGTACTTTATTACATAGGATTTTTCTGATTAAACAATTGTTAATTATATATTATTGATTGCTTTCCGGGTCCTTTGTGTTCTTATGCCCTCTGGTGCTAATTGATATACGTTCTTATACTCATGTATCGTAGGCTCATAGTGCTGGAGAGAAGTTGTTGCGTTTCAACTACTTAGTTGTTCTCTATTTTTGATGTTCCTGATTTTCATTTATTATAATTCTGCAGTAGTTTTTCTCGTTTAATGTGGTGTTGATAAATTATATTCTAATAATGAATTCAGGCTTCATTCCTTCTTTAATTTGTTTTTAATTTTGAGGGCATTTGAGTCTATTTAAGTTAGTTTTTGGCTATTTTTGAAAGTTTTTATAAAAACTGACATTTATGAAAGTAGGGGGTAAATTTTGGCTATTTTTGATAAAAACTCTTCGCAGACCCCATTGCTTTAACAAGTGATTACTCAATTGGGTATGGTAAATAAAACAGAAATTGCAAAGCCTCTCCTGAGTAAGCCCTTGTAAATTGAATTGAATTTATAATTATAATGGTTTTGTTTACTTTGTTAATTGCAATGGATTGCGCCAGTTTAAGCAATGACATCAGCATCTCTAACTGATGTGTCAAAAGTGCCACATAAACATTTAACAGCTAGAAATAACATCTCACATCACTCCAACCAATGTGTCAAAGCTGATGTGGAATGAAGGCTGGAGGTTGAGATGTTATTTTTGACATCCCAAAAACAAGATGTCAAATGAATATATATATTTTTTCTTTTCTTTTTAATTAAAAATAAATCAAAACTAAAATGTAATAAAATAATAATTTAATTTGACATATCAGGTGGAGTGTAAAGTCGTGTA